CGGAAATGCACACACCAGGGACCCTGTAGTGTTGAACACTTTGGGACAAGAGCTGCTCTCTTTCAACGGGTCAAGCAGCCAGTCTTTCCTCAAGTCTCTTGATAAACGACAAACATCCTCCAGTGCATCTTCACGTGTGGAGAAGCACAGCTGATCTGGCCTGTATCTGCCTTCCCTTCTTTTCGTAGCTTCACCTTGGAGACCGGCTGGGATTCCTTCAAGGCAGGTAACAAATGCATCTGCACGAGGCCCTCTCAGCTTCGTTGCCGTCGGAGAACACATGGAAGAGGGTGCCCAGGCCTCTCCCCGACCACCAGCGAGCGGCCCTTGGTGGCCCCTCCAGCAGAAGCAGCGATGGTCTTGAGAGGTTCAAGGGCACCGTCTTCCTTGGCGAGGACGCTGCCTGCGGTTCCCAAATATTAACCACGTTCACTCCCCCCAACGCTGCCCTCTGGATGCTGCTCTGCACAGCGTCACCAGCGGTTCGGGGTCCTGCACTGAGAACTGTACTTGGCGGCCATTGTTTGCAGAAGGACCTCCAGGCACTGCCTATGGCTTCCAGGAGTCCACGTGCTGGGAAAGTCTGGCTGAGAAAAGAGCGGGTGGACAGGTGCTGCGCCAGGGCCGGGAGGGCCGCCCGCCCAGGGGCTCCGCCTGCAGCGGGGACAGGAGACTCAGGAGACCCCCGCGGGCTCGCACTGCACAGTGTTCATCTTTCTAACAAAGGCTCCCACGGGGTTTCCTGGAACACGCGCCCCTGCAGCGCTGCTGGGAAAGGCGGGTTTCTCAGACCCCTTCCTGGGAGTGGGGGGTGGGTGAGGGCTGCGGGCATCTTGGGGGAGAGGCAGAAGGGGTACAGCAGCTGCCCGCCCTCACCAGGGCTCTCCATGCGCCTCCCGCTGGTCCCTGGAAAGCTTTTCCTCCCACGCAGGTCCGAGGCATCTGGCTTGAGCACATGCTGACGGGGACCTGTAGCGGGTCTGCTGCGCCCTCAGCAGCGCTGGGCCTCTGGGCTCCTGGGGAGCGGGCGGAAGTCAGTCCCAGATGAACGTTTTCCTCCTGACCCTTCTTTCAGGAGGAGCCTCCTCCATCTCATCGCTGAGGGCAGACCCCGCCCTTCACCTTCTGCAGCCTTTCCTTGACCTCCGAGGCAGTTTCCATCTCCATCTCGGCCTCCTGTGTCTGAGTGACCACTGCGCCCGCATTCGTCTCCAAAACTTCAGATGAGCCCTTGGGAAGCGCTTATGATTCCTGCTCAGCTCTTGGACGGAACCATGTCCTTTTGGTTCCACACTGCGCGCCCCCAGCCTCTCCCACAGGACAGCTCCAGGGACCCCCAGGGGGCACAGTGCGGCCTCCAGCCCGCAACATGCTGCGCCCTGAGAGCTTCCAGTAGCTCTGGGGGACCCCAGGGACCGCCCACAGACAACATGCTCCTGCAGCAGCCAGGTCCCCTGGGGGAAACCCACCCAAACACGGTCCCACCGTTTCCAAACGCCCTCTCTGCTGAGCACAGACGCTGCCCCATCACTGCGCTAACACACCTTCCACAGCGCGTGCGGCCTCGCAGCCACGTTCTCACAGGGTTTCTGTTCTGCTCTTTCTCCTCCATGGAGGCCCCGCTTCTGAACCCACCAGCGCAGCCCTCTGGGAGCAGTGCGACCCGGGTCATGGGATCCACAGTCACCATGTCCTCGCAAACCTCAAAGCCTCCAAAGCACTGAGACCCCTGAGGCGCCGCTGCCTCTCCCTCACACTCAGGCTGGGGTCCAGCAGCAGCGGCCAGAAGCGGAGGGCGCAGGGGTCCAGGCCACCAGGTTCCCCAGGTCCAGGAGCACCAGCTGCTGCTGCACCAGGCCAGCCCCCTGCACATGCGCTACGGACCTGGGTGCTGGGGGCAGGAGCTTTACCTGCAGCTTCTGCCTCCTCTTGCTGAGTCCCCTTTTCTGCTTCTGCCAACTGGGCCTGACCATCTCCTGGAGGGAGAACTGAGGTCCCTTGAAGTGCTTGGTCCTGCTCTGGCCCATGGCAATGTGAGGACCAAGAGGGGACAGCAGTGGTGCAGCTGTGGCAACAGCCCAGCTGGTGGCAGGGCCTTGAGAAGGTAGAGGTTCATGGGGTAGCTCACCTGGGCCTGGGACTGCAGGGGCCACAGGGAAAGCAGTGCGCAGGCGGGAGGGAGGAGGCCATAGTTTTCTTTGTAGAAGTTCTTGGGAGACTGAAACCACACAAGTCCTTGGAAGCAGAATTCCTCCCCCTCCCCCACCACCTCGCCAAAATAAAAGCCCTGCAGCCCCTCCTTCAAAGTCTCCAACCAAGCAGGTCTGACTTGCTGAGTGATCTTTCCTGTGCTTCTCAGGGGTTTCAATCAGGAGCATAATAACCATCCCACGTCCCCTTGGTGTGTGTGTGTCATGAACATCTGTACCAGCTGCTGTGCCTCTGCTTCTGCATGGTGTCCACTCCTCTGGGTGCTGTGAGCATGAGGCCAAACCAGGACTGTCACCCTGTGGGTCCTTCTTCTGCAGCTTTGGGTTCACACACATGTGGGGCCCACGGTCCAGCATTCAGGGGAGCTGCACTGTTGAGTCATTAGAGCATCTTGTTAGATTCAGATGATGTGGGTCAGAAGATTTGATAAAACTCATTATGGCACAAGAGTGCATGAAAGAGACTCTCTGCCTTTTGTTCACAGGAGAAAGTTGTCTCTCTTTACAACAGACTTTCTAGCTCAGAGACTCAGACGTCAGCGAAGAATCAGGACCCAGAGGTTCCCTGAGGGAAACCGTGAAATGAAGAGGAAACCACACAGGAACCAGCCCAGACCTCCAAATGCACCTGCTGCTGGGTTGGTCCTTGTGTTCAGGGACTCTGAACGCCCCCTGGTGGTCAGAGACGTTCCTGTAGGGAGGTTAGTGTTTGGGCTCACACTGACTTCCCCTCACTGTGTCTCTTGCACAGTAATACACGGCTGTGTCCTGGATGGTCAGGGAGCTCAGCTGCAGGGAGAATTGGTTCTTGGACATGTCTCTGGAGATGGAGGTTCGGCTCTTGAGGGAGGGGCTGTAGTAAGTGTCTCCATCATAATCTATGTACCCGATCCACTGCAGCCCCTTCCCTGGGGGCTGGCGGATCCAGCTCCAGTAGTAACCACTGGTGATGGAGTAACCAGAGACAGAGCAGGTGAGGGAGAGGGTCTGCGAGGGCTTCACCAGTCCTGGGCCCGACTCCTGCAGCTGCACCTGGGACAGGACACCTGGGACAGAGAGAACACAGTGAGTCCTGGGCTCAGATGCAGGATCCCCATCTCCTCACGTCTAAGCCCTGAGTCACTCACATCTGGGAGCTGCCAGCAGGAAGAGGAAGAGCCACATGGGAGTCATGTCTTGTAGGTGAGGTCCTCGTCCCCCAGGAAGTATTCTCTAGGGTGAGGAGGCCCTGAATTTAAGTGGACGCCAACTGTGTGTGTGTCTGGTGGCCATGTGGGCATTTGCATATGGGAGGTGTCTGCACATACAAAGGGCAAGAGGTGAGGGAGGTCCCGGTCTGTGGGGCTTCTCCTGGAAGGAGGTGCTGACTGTGCTCTCAGAGAACCAGATCCATCTTTGGGTCCTGGCCACTGTGCCCAGGGACCTCTCCTTCTACACAATGGGCTATGCTGCAGGAGAGGGTCAGGAAGTAGGATGTGGGCACAATCAGTGACTTTTTAGGGATGAAATCAATGTGCCTCTGCTGGGATAGATATAGATATAGATATAGACTAGACATAGATATAGATAATATATAGATATAGAGATAGAGATATGGTTATTGATATAGTTATAGATATAGATATAGAGATAGACATAGATACAGATATTTTTAAAAATATATAATTTTCTTGATATTTAGAGAGAGAGGACAGGAGAGGGATAGAAAGAAACATACACGAGAGAATCATTGATTGTCTGGCTCCTGCATGGGCCCCACTGGGGATGGAGACTGTAAACCCATCATGTGCCCTCACCAGGTATTAAACCAGTGACTTCTTGGTTCCTATGTCGACGCTCAACCACTGAGCAACCCGAGCCAGGCTGGATCTTCCGTCTCTGTCTTCATCTGAGGATGTGTTCATTGATTTTTAGAGGGAAAGGAAAGGAGAGAGAGAAGGACAGAGGGAAACATTGATCAGTTTCCTCTCATATACACCCATGCTGCTAATCATACCAACAACATTTTCATTTATTTATTTAAATATTTAAAAATAGATATTAGAAAGGAAGGGAGAATAAGAGAGAGAGGGAAAAATCAAAGATGAGAGAAAATAATTGATTGGCTGCCTCCTGAAAGCCCCACACTGAGGATGTTGACGGGGACCTGGGCATTTGTCCTGACCAGGAATCAACCGTGACCTCCTGGTTCATAGGTCACCACTCAACCACGGAGCCATGCTGGCTGGGCTGTCCCTGCACTTTTAGGATTCACAGAGCTCTCTGTGTACTGGGCTCTGGTCAGCGAGACGTTGGCACCATCATAGGTGACCAGGCCCAGCCCATCCCTGACTGCCCTCTGACCCCACTGGCCACAGGCTTGTCCACCACGATGCTCTGCAGCTAACGGGCCCCTGGAGGTTCCCTCAGCACAGCTGTGAGCTGTTGGAGGTGCTCTGAGCTCAGTGCTCACCTGTGTCTCCACCTGACACAGAAGGGGCCTCCATGACCTGATATCACATGTGGACCCTACATGTGGGTTCAGCAGGATGGCTGAGTGGCCCTGGCCCTGGCGTCTAAGGGAGGAGCTGGCACAAGAGATGGCCATGAGAGGATGGTGTGGGGGTGCATTTAAGGCAAAACCTACCAGGGCAAGAAGGAGAGGGAAGAGCACAGCAACACCACATGTCCTGTGCAGGCCCCATGGTGTGAGACTGTGGGCGACAGAGGACAGAGGGTGAGGATGGTGTGGTGTCTGCGGAGCTAAGGCACAACAGAGGTGGTGGGACCATGTCTCCCTTTGGCAGGTTCTCAGGATCCAGGTGGTTCTGGAGGGAAGCGGGACAGGTGTTGGGACACGTCCCCTGGGACCAGGTTCTGAGACCCACAGGGAAATGGGCCCAGCAGGGCTTCCTGCCTCCATCTGGGGCACATGGAGAGGTGGGAGCTTCCAGGCTCACAGAGAGGCAGTGTCTGCAGGGTCCAACCCTACACCTCCATGTGCAGCCATGACAGTGAGAGGCAAGCAACTAATTGCCCCCAAAGGGTTCCTCCTGGGGCAGAGTGAGGGGCCGATCATACTCAGGTGAGGTTTGGGGACGGGACTCCATGTTCCCTGCTAAGCCTGCGTGGAGGGTGGGGTACCTTGCTCTCAGTGAGGGGACAGGAATCCCTACAATGTTTTCCTTGTCAACCCAGAGAGCAACCATCAGGGACCTGGTGACAGGAAGGACCCAGATGAGAAGTCGACCAGATCTGACACACAGCCACTTCCTGCTTTTTTCCTGCAGAGAATCTAATTAAAGACACAAAGAAGGAAGAGGAACTGCCCCAGGGACACTAGGAGGGAAGAAAGCATTGACCCCAATAGGAAGCCTGCACCACCCTCCAGGGACAGCCTCTGAGCTGGGAGCCTGGGTTTGCTGGTTTTGCCCGCCCCCTGGTGTCCTGGATGCCACCTGCAGCCCAGCCCTGCTGTCTCCTCAGGGAGGTTAGTGTCCTGGCTCACACTGACTACATCTCACTGTGTGTTTTGCACAGTAATACACGGCCGTGTCCTCGGCTCTCAGGCTGTTCATTTGCAGATACAGCGTGTTCTTGGCATTGTCTCTGGAGATGGTGGTGTGGTCCTTCACAGAGTTGGTGTATTTTGAGCTACCACCACCACTATTAGCGGATACCCACTGCAGCCCCTTCTCTGGAGCCCAACGGATCCAGTGCATGTAGTAGTCATCAAAGGTGAATCCAGAGGCTGCACAGGAGAGTCTCAGAGACCCCCCAGGCTGCAACAAGCCTCCCCCAGACTCCACCAGCTGCACCTCACACTGGACACCTGCAAACACAGAGACACAAGGTGGACTGAGAATCACATGGAAGCACCAACAGGCACAGAAACAGGTCTCAGCGCTCCCCACTCCTGAGAATGACCTTGAGAAATGATCAGGAGGAAAACGCAGCTTGGCACCAAGTCCATGGTGGAGCCGCTGGGGTCCTGTCTCAGGCACTTGGGTTCTGGTTGTCTCCCCAACATGCCGGGCAAGGGCCCCCTTTTATGAGCAGGAGGAGAGCCCCATTTGCATGGAGTCTGCATATAAGGTGCAGCTGGGACCCTGGGCTGCATGCCTGACCTTGTCATCCTAGGGGCGACCCCAGATGGGAAAGGACTCAAGGATGCTGGCCACAAGGGGTCCCGTCCTGACCCCCCTCCGTGCCTCCTTTCCTGAGACCCGTCACCCTGACCCCATTCCTTTGGGGGCAGCTTCCAGGATTGAGAGTCCTCCTTCCTTGAGGTTTTTATGGGGACCCAGGGGTGCTCCCCCAGAGGCATGTGGATGGGGCTTCCTCTCATTCTCCTTCACCCGCCATCAGCCATGTTGCCTTTCTTGGTTTTGGGAATAAGAATTTGAATTGGCTGATGCTTTTATTTCGAGACTGAAAGATTCTCCTTGTTATTTTCCTCAGTCAGATCCTCCAGAAAACTGGAACCTCTACAGGTGAGGAGGCAGGAGAGGCTGGGCTGGACGCTGTGGCTGCAGCCTCTGTCTCAAACCTGCTGCCACTCTCACAAGAACACAGATGCCTCCTGATACCACACATTTCACTCAACTTCCCTGCTGTTTGTGTGCAAAAGCCCTGTTTGACTAGCCCCTCAAAGTGGGAGAATTTCCATCATTTACACACGGAGACCTGGCTGGTTGGTTCAGTGGTTGGAGCGTCATCCCCAATCCAAAGGTTGTGAACTCTTTAGAGTCACCACCACAATCATGTGGAGGCAGGACGTTTTTAATAATTGTGTGCACTTCCCTCTGCACACGGGGAGGAAACGTGTATGAACATATGTGGTAAATGAAGGAAGGACAACAGCTTGATGTAAGAATTGTCCAAACATGAAGAGAATGTTTTATAAGATTTTATTGGAGCCAAACTGTCAACAACTGTTGGGCAGCAAGACTTCAAATGCTCCAGAGAATAATAATTTTCAGCTGCGATTTTGCATTTGAAGTTAAGGAGGGAAGGTGAGGAATGACATGGAGGTGGGATAGAGCAAGGTGGGGACTGGATGACAGGATAGTTAACAAGATTCGCTTGCTCTCTCTCGTTAAAAATCTTTATTGTTAAAAGTATTATATAGGCCTTCCTTTCCCCCCATAAACCCCATCCAGCTCCCCACATCCCCCACCCATGCCCACACTACCCCATTGTCTGTGTCCACGGGTTAGGCATATATGCAGACAAGTTCATTGGTGGATCTCTTCCCACCCTCCCTCCCCTGCCTTCCCTCTGAGGTTCCGGAGTATGTTGATGCTTCCGTGTCTCCGGGTTTATTTTTGTTCATCGGTTTATTTGGTCCATTAGCGATGCAGTCTGGTGCAGCCATTATGGTAAACAATATGGATTTCTATTTAAAAATTAAAAATGGAGACAGACCCAGAACTTCCAAGAAAAGGCCCAAGGCCCCAAAGCAGCTTGCATTGCTTCACAGGTGGGCCTCATTTGAGCACCTCCAAACCCCACACAAGGAAGGGGAATCTGCAGATCTCTTCATAGTGCCCACTGGGTAGTCTCAGGCAGAGGCTAAATTAGCACCTCCTTAGATCCAAGAGCCAGTGTACCCAGTGGTCAGAGTGGGACCATCCAGACTACAACTCCTCAGATCCATAAGGGACACACTCAGGGGGCAGACTCAGTGAGCACCAAAGGCCCACTGAAGCAAGTCTTGCCCCAGAAGGGTGTCTTCAGCACAGAAGTTCTCCCACCGTAGACACAGCTGATTCTCACAGTCAATTGGCCTGGAGGTCAATTCCTCCCAGTGATACCTACAACAATCAAGGCTTAACTACAACAAGACTGTGCACAAAGCCCACAAAGGGGTGCACCAAGAGTGTCCACCTCAGGTAATTGGGGAGGCTGAGCCACTGGACCCTATAGGACACCTAGCACACAAAGCCACATAAACCAACACAGGAAAGCATAAAAAATGCGGAGACAAAGAAGCAGATCACAAATGACAGAAATGGAGGAAAGCAAATGACTGGATATAGAGTTCAAAACCACACTTTAAGGTTTTTCAAGAACTTTCTAGAAACCACCGATAAATTTAATAAGACCCTCAAAAAGTCTGGTGAGACCACCGATAAATGTAGTGAGACCCTCAAGAAATCTAGTGAGACCCTCAAGGTTATGAAAAAGGACCAACTATAAATTAAGCATACACCAACTGAAATAAAGGATATTATGCAGAATTCCAACAGCAGACTAGAGGATCGCAAGAATCAAGTCAAAGATTTGAAATACGAAGAAGTAAAAAACACCCAACCAGAAAAGCAAAATGAAAAAAGAATCCAAAAATACGAAGATAGTGTAAGGAGCCTCTGGGACAGCTTCAAGCATACCAACATCTGAATTATAGGGGTGCCAGAAGAAGAGAGAGGGCAAGATATTGAAAACCTATTTGAAGAAATAATGACAGAAAACTTCCCCTACCTGGTGAAAGAAATAGACTTACAAGTCCAGGAAGCGCAGAGAACCCCAAACAAAAGGAATCCAAAGAGGACCACACCAAGACACATCATCATTAAAATGCCAAGAGCAAAAGACAAAGAGAGAATCTTAAAAGCAGCAAGAGAAAGAAAGTCAGTTACCTACAAGGGAGTACCCATACGAATGTCAGCTGATTTCTCAACAGAAACTATGCAGGCCAGAAGAGAGTGGCAAGAAATATTCAAAGTGATGAATGCCAAGAACCTACAACCAAGATTACTTTACCCAGCAAAGCTATCATTCAGAATTGAAAGTCAGATAAAGAGCTTCAAAGATAAGAAAAAGCTAAAGGAGTTCATCACCACCAAACCAGTATTATATGAAATGTTGAAAGATATCCTTTAAGAAGAGGAAGAGAAGAAAAAGGTAAAGATACAAATTATGAAAAACAAATACACATCTATTAACAAGTGAATCTAAAAATCAAGTGAATAAATAATCTGATGAACAGAATAAACTGGTGATTATAATAGAATCAGGGGCATAGAAAGGGATGGACTGACTATTCTTGCAGGGGGAAAGGGGTGTGGAGGATCCGGGAAGAGACTGGACAAAAATCATGCACCTATGGATGAGGACAGTGTGGGGGGCTGGTGGCGGCCGGGGGGGGGGGGTGGGAACCGGGTGGAGGGGAGCTATGGGGGGAAAAAAGAGGAACAACTATAATAATCTGAACAATAAGGATTTAATTAAAAAAACACAAAAAACCAAAAATATTAAAAATGGAACTCCCATTTGACCAAGTGATCCCACTTCTAGAAATCTATCCTAAGAAACCGAACTCATCAGAAAAATTCATGCACCCCTATGCTGATTGCACTGCAATATACAGGAGCTAAGCTTTGGAAACAGTCTAAGTGCCCATCAGTATATGACTGGACGAAAAATCCATGGTACATCTACACCATGGAATGCTATGCAGCCATGAAAAAGAGAATTCTTACCATTTGCAACAGCAGAGGTACGTCTGATAAGGGGTTAATCTCTAAAATGCATAGCAACTCATACAACTTAACAAAAGGAAGACAACAACACAATTGAAAAATGGGCAAAGGGCCGCATAGGTAAGTCTCCAAAGTGGGCACACAGATGGCCAAGACGTGCTCTCCTGAGGGTGGTCATGCTGATGTCAAAGGTGTGTTAACCCAGATGCACAGGAACAATGGACGGGGTGCTTAAGGCAAAGATGAGCCTTTGAGTAAAGAAGTCATAGGCCTGGGGGGTGCCCACACTCAGGACTGCCCAGGTAGGATGTGTGATCATAGCCTCCTGTGAGGGTCTCGTCAGTCACTGAGTTTTGTCAGAGCCCCCTTTTTGCTCACAAATACAATCCCTAAAACTAGACCTAGAAAGGGCTTTCTGTGAGCTCTGTGGCTGAGCCTGGGAGCAAAACTAATATAAGACTGAGCAGGAAATGGTATCTTTGCTCAACTCTCCACCTGCTCCTGGTCCGGACCTTGTGCTGGTACTCAGCGACCCCTGCTGGTAAGTATACTTCCTGCAGCCCAGCCCTGCTGTCTCCTCAGGGAGGTTTGTGTCTGGGCTCACACTGACTTCCCCTCAGTGTGCGTCTCGCACAGTAATACACGGCCGTGTCCTCGGTGCTTATGGAGCTCAGCTGAAGGGAGAACTGGTTCTTGGAGGTGTCTCTGGAGATGGAGGTTCGGCTCTTGAGGGACGGGCTGTAGTAAGTGTCTCCATCATACCAGATATTCCCCATCCACTCCAGCCCCTTCCCTGGGGGCTGACGTATCCAGCTCCAGGCATAACCAGTGGTTGTGATGGAGAATCCAGAGACAGTGCAGGTGAGGGAGAGGGTCTGTGAGGGCTTCACCAGTCCTGGGCCCGACTCCTGCAGCTGCACCTGGGACAGGACACCTGGGACAGAGAGAACACAGTGAGTCCTGGGCTCAGATGCAGGGTCCCCATCTCCTCACGTCTAAGCCCTGAGTCACTCACATCTGGGAGCTGACAGCAGGAAGAGGAAGAGCCACATGGAACTCATGTCTAGCAGGTGAGGTCCTCGTCCCCCAGAAAGTATTCTCCAGGCTGAGGAGGCCCTGCATTTAAATGGACCCCAACTGTGTGTATGTCTGGTGGCCGTGTGGGCATTTGCATATGGGAGGTGTCTGCACATACAAAGGGCAAGAGGTGAGGGAGGTCCTGGTGTCTGGGGCTTCTCCTGGAAGGAGGTGCTGACTGTGCCCTCAGAGAACCAGGCCCTCCTTGGCGTCCTGGTCACCGTTTCAGGGTCCTCTCTTTCTATACCAGGGGCTATGTTGTAGGAGGGGCAGGAAGTAGGATTTGGGAACAATCAGTGACTCCTTTGGGATAAAATCCAAGCTTCTGCTCCCATGGATATAGATATACTACAGGCCGGATGCAGGAAATTTGTGAAAGGGGCCAGACCCCCAACACCTCTGTGGCTGCATCTGAAAGGACGTCCAGAAGGACATGTGGTCTAATTAGTATATTCGCTTTTACTATTATAGATGATTTAGATGTAGATAGATATAGATATAGATATAGATATAGATATAGATATAGATATGGCAATAGACATAGATAGATCTTTTCTTTTTTTTTTTTACGAGAGACATGACTTTATTAGAAAAATAAAAAAAGCAAACATAAACACTGAAGTGATGAGTTGGTCCTCAACAGATGCTTTGATGGATAAGGCTGCTTTTGATTGCACTAGCCTTTTCCCGCTCCCGCCGCCATGCAGGGTCCAACTCAAAGCAGTGCCACATGTGTAGGGTCTCATCTGCTGCTGCTGATGCCACCGTGGCCCCATCTGGACTCATGGCCAAACTTAGGACCTGGGCTGTGTGACCTTTGAGCTCAGCCACCTTGACCATGGTTGGGTACTTCCAAATAACCAGCTGGTTGTGGGCAAAGCCATGACCTGAGATAAGTTCCTTGTAGTGGGAAGACCAGAGGATGGAGCACACCTGGGAGTGGGCATCCACAGCATTCAGACAGGCCCCAGAGCAGACGTTCCAGATGCGAATGTGCCGATCACTGGTGCCCCCTCCAGTTGCCCTAATTGGACTGCCAGGGACACCAAGCTAGAGCCTTGACAGCCCCTTGATGCTGGGTGAATGTCTGCAGGGGAACCCAGCCCGCCTCTAAAGCAGCACTAGGCCACACATTGACCAAGTTATCATTGCCACCACTGGCCAAATGTCGTCCATCTGGGGACCAGTGCAGTCCGCGCACTTCCTGGCTGTGACCACTCAGTGTGGCCACATGGTGTTCTGCTACCCGAACATCGTGGTGATGGATGTGACCAGAGCGTGAGCCACTGGACAGTAGGTAGCGATTCCAACACAGGGAGCCCACTCGGGCAGAATGACTGGTCATGTTCTGAAGCCGCTTCTGCTGCTGCACATCCCATAGCTGAACCTCCGCACTGCTGGTGCCCACAGCCAGGTATTTGCCCTCTTTAGATCTTCTTTTCTTTATCCTCACCTAAGAATATGTCCATTGATTTATAGATAAAGATGTAGATGTATTTGTAGATGTACTTAAAGGTATAGATATAAATATTGTTTTCTTTATCCCTACCCAAGGATATATTCATTCATTTTTAGAGGGAAAGTAAAGGAGACAGATAAAAGGAGAGAAACATTGATGTGAGAGAGAAATATTGATCAGTTGCCTCCCATATATGACTCTACTATGAATCAAATCTGCAACATTTTTATGTATTTATTGATTTAAAAAATTGATTTCAGAGAGGAAAGGAGAGAGAGATAAAAACATCAATGATGAGAGAGAATTATTGGTTGGCTGCCTCCTTCATGTCACACACTGGGGATGTTTCCTGCATCTCCGACATGTGCCCTGACTGGGAATTGAACCTTTACCGCTTGGTTCATAGGTCGACAATCAATCTGTGAGCCATGCTGGCTGGGTTGTTCCTGCACTTCTAGGATTCATGGAGCTCCCTCTCTGCCTGGGCTCTGGTCAGCAGGATGCAGTCAACATCATAGGTGAGCAGGCCCCAGCCCTTCCCTCACTGCCCTCTGACCCCAGTCGCATGGACTTGTCCACCATAATTCACTGTAGCTCACGGCCCCCTGGAGGTTCCCTCAGCCAAGGTGTGAGATGTTGGAGGTGCGCTGAGCTCAGTGCTCAGCTATGTCTCCACCTGACACAGGAGGGGCCCCCAGGACCTGACATTGCACGTGGGCACTGCACGTGGGCTCAGCAGGACGGCTCAGTAGCCCTGGCTTCGGTGTCTCAGGAAGGCCTGGCACAGGAGATGGGCATGAGGGGATGGCATGGGACTCCATTTAAGGCAAAACCTACCAGGGCAAGAAGGAGAGGGTTGACACATCAACCGGGACATCCTGTGGAGGCCCCATGGGGTGAGAATGTGGGCGGCAGAGGACAGAGGGTGAGGGTGGGTTGTGTCTTCAGAGCTAGAGGCACAGCAGAGCTGGGTGGGACCATGTCTCCCTTCAGAAGGTTCTCTGGATGCAGATGGATTCTCCAGGGGAAGCAGGACAGGTGTCAGAACACGTCCCCCGGGACCAGGTTCTGAGACCCATGGGGAACAGGGCCCAGCAGGGATGTGAAAGGGACAATCACTGGACCTCCTTCCTGCCTCCATAAGGGGACACCTTGAGAGCTTGGTCCATCTCCCAGGCACACAAGGGGTAGGGCCTACAGGGGTCAGACCCTACACCTCCAGGTGCAACCATGTCAGTGAGAGGAAATCGGCTAACTGCCCCCAAAGGGCTCCTCATGGGGCAAACCGCATCCCTAGTGATGTTTGAGGCCTAGACTCCGTGTTCCCCGAGAAGTTGACCAGATCTGGAACAGCCACTTCTGGCTTTTTCCCTGCAGAGAATCTAATTAAAGACACATAGAAAAAAAGAGGAACTGCCCAGGGACACTAGGAGGGAAGAAAGCATTGACCCCAATAGGAAGCCTGCATAACCTTCCAGGGACAGCCTCTGAGCTGAAACCCTGGGTTTGCTGGTCCTGAGCACCCCCTGTTGTCCTGAGCGCCCCCTGGTGTCCTGAGCGCCTCCTGAAGCCCAGCCCTGCAATCTCCTCAAGGAGGTTAGTGTCTGGGCTCACACTGACTTCCCCTCACTGTGTCTTGCACAGTAATACACGGCCGTGTCCTCAGCTCTCAGGCTGCTGAGCTCCATGTAGGCTGTGCTCGTGGACATGTCTCTGGTCATGGAGGCTCCGCCTTGGAACTTCTGTGTGTAGTCTGTGATTCCAAGTAAAGGGAGAACCCTCCCCATCCACTCAAGCCCCAGTCCTGGGGCCTGTCGCACCCAGTGCATCCAGTAGCTGGTGAAGGTGGATCCAGAAGCCTTGCAGGAGACCTTCACGGAGGCCCCAGGCTTCCTCACCTCAGCCCCAGACTGCACCAGCTGCACCTGGGAGTGGACACCTGTGGGGAGGAGACAGGAGTGAGGGGAATCCCCTTGACTCTCCCTGGACCCTCCTTAACCCAGGACAAGAGCCCCTTACCTGTCACCATGGCCACCAGGAGGAGGGTTCTCCAGCTCCAGTCCATGCTGAGGCCTGTGCTGTGAGCACTTCTGTAGGGGAGGGTGTGGCTGTGGGTGATGCCCTCAGGGCACAGACTTACCCATATTTAACCTGGTCTACCTCCTCTCTTTTGCATATTCATGAGGCAGAGTATTTCATAGATGATGTCATGACCCCACCTGAGAGAAGATGGGTGACACAGGGACCATGGTCAGTGGGAGTCTGAGGGTCCAAGTGCTAATTCTTTTTTCTTTAAATTGTACCTTTATTGTTGAAGGTATTACACATGCCCCCTTCAACCACCTTTGACACCCTCTAGCCGGGCCCCAGGTGCCCAGGTCTTCACCATCCTATTGTCTGTGTCCCTGGATGATGCACATATGCATACAAGTTTGTTGGTTGACCTCTTCCCACCCTCCCACCCGACCACGACTTCCCTCGAGATTCCCCAGTTTGCTCCATGCTTTCAGGTCTCTGGATCCATTCTCTTCATCAGTTCATTTTGTTAATTAGATTCCACATATGAGTGAGATCATGTGATACTTTCCTTTCTCTGACTGGCTCATTATACTTACCATGACATTCTCCAGGTCCCTCCATGCTGTCCCAAAGGGTAAGAGATCCTTCTCTTTTACTGCTGCATAGTATTCCGTGGCATAAATGTACCACAGCTTTTTTTTTTATCCACTCAGCTCCTCATGGGCATTTAGGATCTTTCCATATCTTAGCTATTGCAAATTGTGTTTCTATGACCATACGTGTTCATACATCTTTTTCTAATTGGTGTTTGGGGTTCCTCCGCATATATTCCTAAAAGTGGGATCACTGGGTCAATTGGCTGTCCCGTCTTTAATTTTTTGAGGAAACTCCATACTGCGTTCCATCATGGCTGCACCAGTTGATATTCTCTCCAGAAGAGTATGAGGGTCAACTTTTCTCCACATACTCATCAGCACTTGTCATTTGTTGATTTGTTGATGGTAGCCATTCTGACAGGTGTGAGCTTCCTGTACACTCTTCCTTTATGCAAGCTCATGGCCTATTTCAGAGATACCAAATAGTTACACCAGCAATAGTCATGGCTCTAAGTGGAGAGAAGACACGAAATAAAAGCAGTGATCATGTATGTGCACAGCATGGAATCATTCATATGTTGAAATGATGGTGGAAGGAGATTGAACTGTTTTCTCAGTCTAGTGTCATCAGTGATGTTGGTGTTCAGAGGGAGGCGAGTGAAGAGAATTCAACAATAGAATTTCTCACAGGAAAGGGAATTTCAACCCCGAGAGGAATCCCTCCCTCTCAGCCTCATTCTGCCCTTCCTGGGTGGTCACTGTGTTGAGATGGTGCTGGGCTCTCCCCCATAACTTACAACAACCTTAATGTGTAATACACATTCTCCCATTAGGCACATGTTTCTGAAATATAATCTCATGCTAAGCTTGTCAATGAATATCCTTGACATAATTCTTGGTGGGACAAGTGTTTTACTTTTATTAAAGTTCAATACATCAGTATTTTCTTAAACTTTTTTAAAATATATTTTATTGATTTTTTACAGAGAGGACGGGAGAGACATAGAGAGTTAGAAACATCGATGAGAGAGAAACATCGATCAGCTGCCTCCTGCACATCTCCCACTGGGGATGTGCCCGCAACCCAGGTACATGCCCTTGAACAGAATCGAACCTGGGACCTTTCAGTCCGCAGTATTTTCTTTATTGGCACCTGTTTTGGGTGATTTTGCAAAGAACTCCCTAGAAAATTGTGAGCATCCACTGTCCATGTGGATTGGCTACAGCAGCCACAGGGACTGGAGCAGATTCTGGTACCAGAGGGGAGCGCTGCTGGGAAACTACCCATAAATGTGGACGTGACTATGAAACTGGGGGAGATGAGGAAGCTGGACTTGATTTGAGTCACATGACAGAAATGTGCCTGATGTTCATGGACAGAGAGTTACTGGACATGTGGGTTTAAAGCCTCCTCCAGTGAAGGCCCAGAAGGAAGTGCAGGGCATGATAGGGACAGCTCGCATCATCGTAGGAAATACCTGAATAATGATGAGCAGGAGTTGATTGAAGTAGAAACATTAAAGATCATGCAGGCAGGGATCAAGAGCAATAAGGAACCTGTCACTGCAAACTGATGGGAAGGCAAACCCTGTTTCTTACATGCACATTCCAACAGTGTCTCTGTTCTAGAAGGTGACATCTTCCCAGGTGAAGGGAATTAGGACTTGGACACATTTGGGGTCATTATTCACATGGTCTCTCCCTGAATCACCTGAGCCACAAAAATTTTTTGGTCTCTTTTATGAAATCTCTGAACTCTTGGAAGGAGGAGTGGACACCCCTCACTGGAGGAGCCATGGTGATGGTGTGTCTGTATGAGGAGCCTTCATTTCAGTTGCCCAGTACTCTTATCTCTGTCCATCATCAGCATCATTTGCTTACTCATAATTATTTTTCTCATTTTCTTTACGTGTAGTTTTTGTACAGACATAAGGACATTTTCCTGAATTCTTGCTCAATTTGTATAGTTGTTAAATAAAATATAACTATACAACTATATTTGCTTTTTCATATGAATTCTAAGAACTGAGAGCTCATTGCTGCCTCTTCTCCATCTGCCCCCCACACCGGAAATTGGATAAGAAATCATAGTTTTCTCTTTAAAAGTTATTGGAAGATTGAAACCACACAAGTCCCTGGAAGCAGAATTCCTCCCCCTACCCCACCATCTCACCAAAATAAAAGCTCTGCCCCCTCTCCTTTCCAGTCTCCATCCAAGCAGGTCTGACTTGCTGAGTGATCTTTTCTGTGCTTCTCAGGGGTTTCAATCAGGAGCATAATAACCATCCCACGCCCCCGTGGTGTGTGTGTGTCATGAACATCTGCACCAGCTGCTGTGCCTCTGCTTCTGCATGGTGTCCACTCCTCTGCATGCTGTGAGCATGAGGACAAGTCCAGGACTGTCACCCTGTGGGTCCTTCTTCTGCAGCTTTGGGTTCACACACATGTGGGGCCCACGGTCCAGCATTCAGGGGAGCTGCACTGTTGAGTCTCAGTGGTTCTCAACCTTCTTAATGCCGCGACCCTTTAATACAGGTCCTCATGTTGTGATGACACCCAACCATAAAATTATTTTCATTGCTACTTCATAACTGTAATTTTGCTACTGTTATGGATCGTAATGAAAATATCTGATATGCAGGATGTATTTTCATTGTTCGTGACACACAGGTTGAGAACCATTGTTAGCCTCTTGTTAGATTCAGGTGACGTGGGTCAGAAGATTTGATGATAAAACTCATTATGGCCCAAGTGTGTATGAAAGAGACTCTCTACCATTTGTTCACAGGAGAACATTCTCTCTCTTTACAACAGACTTTCTAACTCAGAGACTCAGACGTCAGCGAAGAATCAGGATCCAGAGGTTCCCTGAGGGAAACTGACATGATGAGGAAGCCACAAATATACCAGCCCAAACCTCCAACTGCATCTGCTACTGGGATGGTCCTTGTGTTCAGGAAGAAAGCATTGACCCCAATAGGAAGCCTGCACAACCCCTCCAGGGGCAGCTCTGAGCTGGGCCCTGTATTTGCAGGTCCTGAGCGCCCCCTGGTGTCCTGGACACTTCCTGCAACCCAGCCCTGCTGCCTCCATCAGGGAGGTTTGTGTCTGGGCTCACACTGACTTCCCCTCACTGTGTCTCTTGCACAGTAATACATGGCCGTGTCATCGGCTCTCAGGCTGCTCATTTGTAGATACAGCTTGTTCTTGGCATTGTCTCTGGAGATGGCGAAGCGGCCCTTCACAGAGTTGGCGTAGTATGTGCTACCACCACCACTATTAATGTATGCGACCCACTCCAGCCCCTTCCCGGAGCCTGGCGGACCCAGTTCATTTCATAGTTACTGAAGGTGAATCCAGAGGCTGCACAGGAGAGTCTCAGAGACCCCCCAGGCTGCACCAGGCCTCCCCCAGACTCCACCAGCTGCTCCTCACACTGGACACCTGCAAACACAGAGACACAAGGTGGACTGAGAATCACATGGAAGCACCAACAGGCACAGGCACAGGTCTCAGCGCTCCCCACTCCTGAGAATGACCTTGAGAAATGATCAGGAGGAAAACGCAGCTTGGCACCAAGTCCATGGTGGAGCCGCTGGAGTCCTGTCTCAGGCGCTTGGGTTCTGGGTGTCTCCCCAACATGCTGGGCAACGGCCCCCTTTTATGAGCAGGAGGAGAGCCCCATTTGCATGGAGTCTGCATATAAGGTGCAGCTGGGACCCTGGGCTGCATGCCTGATTTTGTCAACCTAGGGGCGACCCCAGATGGGAAAGGACTCAAGGATACTGGCCCAAAGGGGTCCTGTCCTGACCCCCTTCCTTCCCTTCTTTCCTGAGACCCGTCACCCTGACCCCATTCCTTAGGGGGCAGCTTCCAGGATTGAGAGTCTCCTTCCTCGGGGTTTTGATGAGGACCCAGGAGTGCTCCACCAGAGGCATAAGGATGGGGCTTCCTCTCGCTCTTCTTCACCCGATGTGGGCCATGTTGCTTTTCTGGGGTTTAGGAATAAGAGTGTGAATTGAATGATGCTTTTATTTTGAAGCTGAAAGATTCCCCTTGTTATTTTTCTCAATCAGATCCTCCACAAAACTTAAACCTCTAAAAGTAAAGGGGCAGGAGAGGCAGGGCTGGACGCTGTGGCCACAGCCCCTGTGTCTAATCTGCTGCCACACTCACAAGCACACATCTGCCTCCTGAAAGCACAGATTTCACTCAGCTTCCTGCTGTTCATGTGCAAAAGCCATATTTCCCGGCCTTTCAAAGTGGGAGAATTTCCATCATTTACAAATGGAGCCCTGGCTGATGGGCCTCAGTGGTTGGAGCGTCATCCCCACACCAAAGGGTGTGAATTCCTTAGAGTCACCTCCACCACCATGTGGAGGTAGTAGGGTTTTTTTGGTTTTTGTTTTACATATATTTTATTGATTTTTTTACTGAGAGGAAGGGAGAGGGATAGAGAGTTAGAAACAATGATGAGAGAGAAACATCTATCAGCTGCCTCCTGCACACTCCCCACTGGGGATGTGCCCGCAACCAAGGTACATGCCCTTGACCAGAATCGAACCTGGGGCCCTTGAGTCCGCAGGCCGATGCTCTATCCACTGAGCCAAACCGGTTAGGGCTGAGGTAATATGTTTTAATAAGTGTGTGCACCCCCCTCTCCACACGGGGAAGAAACCTGGATGAACATATGTGGTAAATGAATTAAAGACAACACGTTGATGTAAGAACTGTCCAAACATGGAGAGAATGTTTTATAAGATTTTATTCCAGCCAAAGAGTTGGACAACTTTTGGGGAGCAAGAACTCAAATGCTCTGGAGAATAATCGTTTGTAGCTGGGTTTGTGCATTTGAAGTTAAGGAGGGAAAGTGAGGAGTGACACGGAGGGAGGAGAGAGCAAGGCTGGGACTGGATGCTGGGATTGTGAACAGGAGGTTCTCTCTCTCTCTTTCTCTCTCTCTCTCTCTCTCTCTCTCTCTCTCTCTCTTCTAATCTTTATTGTTGAAAGTATTGCATAGGACCTCCTTTTCTCCCCATTATCCTCTCCCTGCTTGCTCCCATTCCCTCCCCAGGCCCTCTCCACCCCATTCTTTGTGTCCATTGATTAAGCATATATGCAGAGAAGTTCATTGGTTGATCTCTTCCCACCCACCCTCCCCACTTCCATTCTGAAGTTCCATGGTCTGTTCATGCTTCTATGTCTCTGGGTCTATTTTTGTTCATCAGTTTATTTGGTCCATTAGCAAGGTAAACTGGTGCAGCCATTATGGAAACCAGTATAGAGTTTCCACCTAAAAATTAAAAATGGAACTCCTATTTGACACAGTAATTCCACTTCCCAGCCCGAGACCAAGTCCAGGCTGGGCCATCTGGTCTACGCCCTTCCCTGTCTCTCTCAGACCGCTGCCCCAGTCCAATTCCAGGCCAGGATATCTTGTCGAGCCCCACCCCCGGCTCTCTCTTTCTCAGACCCCTGACCAAGACCAAATCCGTGCCTGGACATCTGGTCCACCGCAGCCACTATGCAACCATCTCTGGCTGCTGCCCCTTTTGAGGAGTGCTGGTTGACTGTGGTTTTGGGGGGGGAATGGGGAGGGATCCGGCCCTCGGGCCCCTGGGAAAGGGGCCGCGTCCTCCACCATCCACTCCCGCTTCCCCGTTCTAGCCCGAGGTCCGAAGGCCCCAGCGGGGTTCGGGGAGAGGACCTGCAGCAGGTCTGCTGCGCCCTCAGCAGCGCTGGGCCTCTGGGCTCCTGGGGAGCGGGCTGAAGTCTGTCCCAGATGCATGTTTTCCTCCTGACCCTTCTCTCAGGAGGAGCCTCCTACATCTCATCCCTGGGATCCGACCCACCCTTCGCCTTCTGCAGCCTTTCCTGTGCCTCCAGGGCGGTTTCCATTTCCATCTCGGCCTCCTGCGTCTGAGTGACCCCTGCGCCCGAGTCCATTTCCAAAACTTCGGATGAGCCCTTAGGAGGCGCTTATGATTCCTACTCGACTCTTGGACAGAACCATGTCCTTTGGGTTTCACACTGCGCCGCCCCCAGCTGCTCCCACAAGACATACTCCAGGGACCCCCAGGGGACAGCGTGCGGCCTCCAGCCGGCGCCATCCTGTGCCCCGAGCGCTTCCAGTAGCTCTGGGGACCCCAGGGACCGCCCGCAGACAACGTGCTCCTGCAGCAGCCAGGTCCCCTGGGGGAAACACACCCAAACGCGGTCCCACCATCTCCAACGCCCTCTGTGCTGAGCACAGACGCTGCCCCATCACTGCGCTCACACACCTTCCACAGCGCATGCGTCCTCGAGGCCACGTTCTCACAGGGTTTCTGTTCTGCTCTTTCTTCTCCATGGAGGCCCTGCATATGAACCCACCAACGCTGCCCTCTGGGAGCAGTGCGACCCGGGCTATGGGATCTGCAGTCACCATGTCCTCGCAAACCTCAAAGCCTACAAAGCACTGAGACTCCTGAGGCGCCGCCTCCTCTCCCTCACCGCCAGGCTGGGGTCCAGCAGCAGCGGCCAGAGGGAGAGGGCGCAGGGGTCCAGGCCACCATGTCCCCCGGGTCCAAGAGCACCAGCTGCTGTTGCACCAGCTGGGGCAGCCAGAAGCATGCGCACTGGGGATCTGGACACTGGGGGCTGGAGCTTTCCCTGCAGCTCCGCCTCCTCTTTTTAAAAAAATATTTTATTGATTTTTTTACAGAGAGGAAGGGAGAGGGATAGAGAGCTAGAAACATCTGTCAGCTGCCTCCTGCACACTCCCTACTGGGGATTTGCCCGCAATCAAGGCACATGCCCTTGACCAAAATCGAACCTGGGACCCATCAGACTACAGGCCAAAGCTCTATCCACTGAGAGAAACCGGTTAGGGCAGGTCCACCTCTTCTTGCTCAGTCCCTTTCTGTGCTGCTGCCAACTGGGCCTGACAGTCCCTGGAGGGAGAACTGAGGTATCTTGAAGCACTTCATCCTGCTCTGACCCATAGCAACGTGAGGACCTAGAGTGGACAACAGCTGAGAGGCGGTGGTGGCTGCCCAGCTGGTAGCAGGGCCTTGGGGAGGCCTTGGTTCATGGGGCAACTCACCTGGGCTTGACACTGCAGAGGCCACAGGGAAAGCAGTGCACAGGTGCTAGGGAGGAGGCCATAGTTTTCTCTGTAGAAGTTATTGGGAGATTAAAACCACACAAGTCACTGGAGGCAGAATTCCTCCCTCGCCCCCACCACCTCGCCAAAATAAAAGCCCTGCACCCTCTCCGCTCCAGTCTCCATTCAAGCAGGTCTGACTTGCTGAGTGATCTTTCCTGTGCTTCTCAGGGGTTTCAATCAGGAGCATAATAACCATCTCACGCCCCTGTGGTGTGTGTGTGTCATGAACATCTGTACCAGCTGCTGTGCCTCTGCTTCTGCATGGGGTCCGCTCCTCTGGGTGCTGTGAGCATGAGGACAAGACCAGGACTGTCACCCTGTGGGTCCTTCTTCTGTAGCTTTGGGGTCACACACATGTGGTGGCCACGGTCCAGCATTCAGGGGAGCTGCACTGTTGAGTCATTAGAACCTCTTGTTAGATTCAGGTGACGTGGGTCAGAAGATTTGATGATAAAACTCATTATGGCCCACGTGTGCATGAAAGAGACTCTCTACCTTTTGTTCACAGGAGAAAGTTCTCTCTCTTTACAACAGACTTTCTCACTCAGAGACTCAGACATCAGAAAGAATCAGGATCCAGAGGTTCCCTGAGGGAAACTGTGACATGAAGAGGAAACCACACAGGATCCAGCCCAGACCTCCAACTGCACCTGCTGCTGGGATGGTCCTTGTGTTCAGGGACCCTGAGTGCCCCCTGGTTGTCAGAGATCTTCCTGCAGGAAGGTTAGTGTCTGGGCTCACACTGACTAACCCCTCATTGTGTCTCTTGCACAGTAATACACGGCTCTGTCCTCGGTGGTCACAGAGCTCAGCTGCAGGGAGAACTGGTTCTTGGACGTGTCTCTGGAGATGGAGGTTCGGCTCTTGAGGGAGGGGCTGTAGTCAGTGTCTCCATCATAATCTATGTACCCCATCCACTCCAGCCCCTTCCCTGGGGACTGGCGGATCCAGTGCCAGACGTAACCAGTGGTTGTGATGGCGAATCCAGAGACAGAGCAGGTGAGCGAGAGGGTCTGCGAGGGCTTCACCAGTCCTGGGCCCGACTCCTGCAGCTGCACCTGGGACAGGACACCTGGGACAGAGAGAACACAGTGAGTCCTGGGCTCAGATGCAGGGTCCCCATCTCCTCACGTCTAAGCCCTGAGTCACTCACATCTGGGAGCTGACAGCAGGAAGAGGAAGAGCCACATGGGAGTCATGTCTTGCAGGTGAGGTCCTCGTCCCCTAGAAAGTATTCTCCAGGGTGAGGGGGCCCTGCATTTAAGTGGACCCCAACTATGTGTGTGTCTTGCTCCCATGTGGGCATTTGCATAAGGGGGTTGTGTGCACATACAAAGGGCAAGAAGTGAGAAAGGTCCCGGTGTCTGAGGCTTCTCCTGGAAGGAGGTGCTGACTGTCCCTCAGAGAACCAGGCCCTCCCTGGGGCCCTGGTCACCATGCCCAGGGACCTCTCCTTCTACACCAGGTGCTATGCTGTAGGATGTGGTCAGGGAGTAGGATGTGGGCACAATCAGTGACTCCTTAGGGATAAACTCAATGAGGCTCTGCTCCCATGGATATAGATATAGATGACATTGATATGGATTATACATATGATATAGATATAAATATAGATATAGATATATGTACAGATAGACATAGATACAGGTATTTTTAAAAAGTATATATTTTTTGATATATATATAGAGAGATAGAAAGGGAGAGGGATAGAGAGAAACATACTTGAAAGAGAATCATTGATTGACTGCCTACACCATGGCCCCCTCTGGGGATGGAGACTGCAATCCCACTCATGTGTCCTAACCAGGAATCAAACCAGTGACTTCTTGGGTCCAGGGTCAAAGTTCAACAGCTGAGCCACATGAGCCAGGCTGGATCTTCTTGTCTTTATTCTCACCTGAGGACGTGCTTATTGATTTTTACAGGGAAAGGAAAGGAGAGAGAAATATTGAACAGAGATGCAGAGAGAAAGAGAAATATTGACAGCAGAGAACATATTTATCAGTTGCCTCCCATAACTGCTGAGACTGGGAATCAGACCCACAACCTTTACATTTATTTATTTCAATACTAAAGGCCAAGTGTGTGAATTCATGCATGGGTGGGGTCCGGCTGGCCCATCTGATCAGGGTGGGCCGTATGGGGGGAGAGGGGAGGGTGGTTGGCTGGCCAGCCCTGACCCCGGTCAAACTCCCAGTCCAGGGGACTATTTGCATATTAGCCTTTAAAAATATAGGCTATATTTCACAGATTTCAGAGAGGAAGGGAGAAGGAGAGATAGAAACATCAATGATGAGAGAGAATCATTGATCTGTTGTGTCCTGCATGATCACAATTGGGTATAAAGCCCACAACTCAGGCATGTGCCCGGACCAGGAATGGAATCATAGGTCGAAGCTCAACCACTGAGCTACATCAACCAGGCTTCATTCCGTTTTGAAATATATTTTCAGTTAGCTTAGATTTCTAAGGTGATGGCTTTTCATTTTTTCTTCAGCACTTTAAAGTCGTAATTCCTTTATCCTCTGATTTTTCAGTGTTTTGTGTGACATTTGATGTTTTCATTAATCTTTTAAAAATGTTGTTATTGATGTCAGAGAGGTAGGGAGAGGGAGAAGGAGATGGAAACATCAATGACGAGAGAGAATCATTGATCGGATGCCTCCTTCATGTCTCCTATTGGGGATTAATCCTGCAAACCAGGTGTGTGACCTGAATGAGAATCAAACACATAACCTGGTGGTTCCTGGGCCAACACTCAACCCCTGAGCCACACCGGCCAGGCTCCTTCCCCCTCTAAGTAGCATGTACTTGACTCAGGGTTCGCTCAGTTTCTGCAGGTCTCTGACTGTTTTTGAGAGCCCGGCAGATGCCCGTTCTGATAGTTTTGGTTTGTTTTTTGATGTTTTTGTGGAGGAACAAGAGTTTGGAGCTGCTTACGCCACCATTTTGCTTCAGCCCCTTCTGCTCAGTGACTCCTTTTGAACAAACAGAGAATGAGAAGGGAGAAGAGCAACCGCCCTGGAAAACTACCAACAACAGAAAAAACAGAGGGGCCAGTGCCCATCCCAGGCCAGCAGAGGCAGGAGGAGGGCCCTGGGCTGAGCAGTGACTCTGGTGTTTGTAAGGAGACACTGTGTTTTAGGAAGATGAGCTTCCTGTTCCTGGAGTACCCCAGACACACATCCAGAAGGGGTGGTTTTGAGAGGATTGAGCTGGACAGGCAGGCAGACAGGGCAGGGTCCATGGGACACAAAGGCAGGTGGAGGGTAGGCAGGGCAGACAGGGCAGTCTGAGATACCTACACACAGGGACTAACCAGGCAGACATAACAATATTTCTGGACTCAGAGCAGGAGGCCTGGGAAACGAGGGAGGGCCTGCAACAGTAAGGTGAGCGCACACAAGGGAACAGGGATGTGCAGGTCCCTTGCTGGGAAAGAACAATGAGGAGCCCATCAGGTGGGCACATGGGTAGACACAGAGCAGGCTGGTGGCACAAAAACATCCGAGACCACAGGCTTTAAGGGCAGCCCATTAGTGGGCCCCTCCCATGCGGGGAGCCTGAATCTGCTTGTAATAAACACTCCACGCTTTTGCTTAAATCTCTGGCCCCCGATTTCATTCTTGGCCTTGGTGACAACCAATCCTGGGGACAGGAAACACTGGGCTTGCCCTTCCAATAATCAAGTTTGGCTCAAATAAACTTAAAAATATTCTCCAGGGCATGTGCTGCAATGATTTGGAAGGTGGCAGGCGATGAGGCTTACATGCAGGGGGCAGTCCGTTCTGCTTCACCGTCATCACCGTCTCCTCTGGCTATTATACGTGGGTTGTCTTCTGGCCTCAGAGTATTCCTTATCAGAGCCTTGGCCCCTAGGTCCCATCACTCAGTACTCAGTGGACCATCAACACACCCTTCTGCACAATGGGTGTGGCTTGTGGCTGATTCACGTGGAGAGTCCTTGTGTGCCATGGTATGTGCACGTCTAAAGGCATCACAGATGGTCGGGCTCAGCTACTCTGGTTCCGGCAGACATTCCCCTTTGGGGGAGCCTCTCTCTCCATCTTGATTGTTTACAGACCAAAATGCCAAAAACAAACTTAAAGAAGGTACCCAACCTTTCCCTACACAGACATCCACCTCACTCTTATTGGGGGATCGTGTGCTTACTCCACCTTTCTGTTTCCTGGAAAGTCACGACCCTCTAGTTATTCATTATTTCATATTCTATGCTTGGGTTTGAGTGGATAGTAGGAAAAGGTTGTATGTTTCCCATTCGGCAGACTAACCTACTTGGCAGGGTACTTCTAGCTACCCTCCTGAAGGCCTTGGCTGTGTTGGTGCTCTCTCCCTGCCATCTGGGTTAAGCCACGTACTGAATTTGCTTGTTGGTCTATCTGTGCTCCCACTTTTTCTCTAAAACACGTTACCCATACCACCTACATCTTAGCTGATTAGGGGTTGCTTTTCGGTATGGTAAAATCTGTTAGAATCAATCGACAGAAATCCAACTCAGATTTTTTAGAGCCATGGTCCTCTCCTAGGGAATTAATGACAGTAGTATTAATGGTGTCAGGAATAAGATGGTACATTATGGAATTGAATGGATTAATGAATAAAATGCTGTGAATTGTCTCATCCCCCCCCAAAAAATATCCTCCACAGGCTTAGAGATTCTCATTTGAATGACTTCTAAGTGGTTCATTTATGTTGTGGATTTTATGCTGATTCAACCAGCAGGGGAACCTGCCAGAGTGTCACAGGGGGACAGGTCACAGCTGGGGAAGCCTCCTTTTCTTTCTTCTCCTTTTTATACACTTTCCTTGACTCCAGAGATGAGGCCTGTGGAGCAATGGGAACATCAATGATGAGAAACTGGTTGGCTGCCTCCTGCCACACAACCCATGAGGATAGAGACTGCAACCCGGGCATATGCCCTGACCAAGGAATCAAACTGTGACCTCCTGGTTCATAGGTCGATGTTCAACCTCCCAGTCACGCCTGCTGGGCTGGAAAAAGACGGGACACTTACGTCCATGACAACCAACGGCAAACTTGTCTCACCTTCAACACCTGTGAACTCATTTGAACTCATCCCGTCCAGGTAGCAGGTTTTTAATAATTGTGTGCACTTCCCTCTCCACACGGGGAAGAAACGTGTATGAACGTATGTGGTAAATGCAGAAAAGACAAGATGTTGAGGTAAGAAATGTCCAACATGTAGACAATGTTTTATAAGATTTTATTTAGCCAAACTGAGGAGAACTGTTGGGGAGAAAGATGTCAAATGCTTCGGAGAATAACCTTTTGCAGCTGTGTTTGTGCATTTGAAGTTAAGGAGGGAAGATGAGAGATGACATGGAGCGGGGAGAGAGCAAGGCGGGGACTGGGTGCCAGGATAGTGAACAGGAGGTGCTCTCTCTCTCTCTCTCTTTTCTAATCTTTATTGTTGAAACTATTGCATAGGTCCCCCTTTCTCCCCATTATCCTCTCGTGGCTCATTCCCATTCCCTCCCCAGACGCTAACCACGCCATTGTCTGTGTGCACAGGTTAGATATATATGAAGACAAGCTCATGGGCTGATTTCTTCCCAACCACCCTCCCCTGCTTTCCTTCTGAGGTTCCATAATCTGTTTATGCTTCTTGGTGTCTGGGTCTATTTTTCTTGATCAGTTTATTTGGTCCATTAGCAATGCAGACTGGGGCAGCCATTATGGAAAAAAATATGGAGTTCCATCTAAAAATTAAAAATGGAACTCCTATTTGACCCAGTGATCCCACTTCTAGGAATACATCCTAAGAAACTCAAGAGACTCATCAGAGAGAATGCATGCACCCCTATGCTCATAGAAGTGCAATTTACAACAGCTAAGCCTTGGAAGCAGCCTAAGTGCCCAGTAGCAGATGATTTGATAAAAAAAATCGTGGTACATCTACACCATGGAATGCTATGCAGTCGGGAAAAGGAAAGAACTCTTACCATGTGCAACAGCAGGGGTAAGTCTGATAATGGGTCAATCTCCAAAACGTATAGGAACTCATACAACTTAACAAAAGGAAGACAACAACACAATTGAAAAATGGGCAAAAGGCCTCATAGGTAAGTCTACAAAGTTGACACGCAGATGGCCAAGACGTGCTCTCCTGAGGGTGGTCATGCTGATGTCAAAAGTGTGTTAACCCAGATGCACAGGAACAATGGACGGGGTGCTTAAGGCAAAGATGAGCCTTTTAGTAAAGAAGTCATAGGCCTGGGCGTGCCCACCCCCAGGACTGCCCAGGGAGGATGTGTGATCAGAGCCTCCTGTGAGGGTCCTGTCAGTCACTGAGTTTTGTCAGATTTAGGACAGAGACCCCTTTTTGCTCACAAATACAATCCCTAATACTAGAATTAGGAAAGGGCTTTCTGTGAGCTCTGTGGCTGAGCCTCTGAGCAGGAATCTTTTCTGTCTCACTCACACTTTTATCCTCGCCTCTAAAACAATGTCTGGCACATAGTAGGCACTTCGTAGGTATTTGTTGACTGAATCATTATTTCATGATTACCTAGCACAAAGCCTGGCACAAAATGAGGAACTCACTAAAGTTAAACAGAGCCCAAACCAGCCCAATCCGTTGATCTGCAGATAGAAAAAGCCACGGTTAGATTAAGGACCTCACCCATAGTCCTAGCCATGATAGTGTTTCCATTATGTTACTGCTTTGAGCAGGAAATGGTATCTTTGCTCAACTCTCCACCTGCTCCTGGTCAGGGCCCTGTGCTGGTCCTGAGCGCCCCCTGCTTGTCATGGACGCTCCCTGCAGCCCAGCCCTGCTGTCTCCTCAGGGAGGTTTGTGTCTGGGCTCACACTGACTTCCCCTCACTGTGTCTCTCGCATAGTAATACAGGGCCGTGTCCTCGGCACTCAGGCTGCTCAGGTCCATGTAGGCTGTGCTCATGGACGTGTCACTGGTCATGGAGACTCTGCCTTGGAACTTCTGTGCGTACTTTGTGTTTCCATTGTAAGGGTTAACCCACCCCATCCACTCAAGCCCCTGTCCTGGGGCCTGTCGCACCCAGTGAACAGCATAGCTGGTGAAAGTGTATCCAGAAGCCTTGCAGGAGACCTTCACGGAGGCCCCAGGCTTCCTCACTTCAGCCCCAGACTGCACCAGCTGCACCTGGGAGTGGACACCTGTGGGGAGGAGACAGGAGTGAGGGAATCCCCCTTGACAATCCCTGGACCCTCCTTAACCCAGGACAAGAGCCCCTTACCTGTCGCCATGGCCACAAGGAGGAGGGTTCTCCAGCTCCAGTCCATGCTGAGGGCTGTGCTGTGAGCACTTCTGTCTGGGAGGGTGTGTCTGTGGGTGTGCCCTCAGGGCACAGACTTACCCATATTTAACCTGGTCTACCTCCTCTCTTTTGCATATTCATGAGGCAGAGTATTTCATAGCTGAGGTCTTGACCCCACCTGAGAGAAGGTGGGTGACACAGGGACCATGGTCAGTGGGAGTCTGAGGGTCCAAGTACTAATTCTTTTTCTTTAAATTATACCTTTATTGTTCAAGGAATTACACATGCCCTCTTCATCCCCCGACACCTTCTAGCCTGGCCCGGGTGCCCAGGTCTTCACCATCCTATTGTCTGTGTCCCTGGATGATGCACATATGCATACGAGTTTGTAGGTTGACCTCTTCCCACCCTCCCACCGGACCACGACTTCCCTCTGAGATTCCCCAGTCGGCTCCATGCTTTGAGATCCCTGGATCCATTCTTTTCATCAGTTTATTTTGTTAATTAGGCTCCACATATGAGTGAGATCATGTGATACTTGTCTTTCTCTGACTGGCTTAATTCACTTACATGATAATCTCCAGGTCCCTCCATGCTGTCCCAAAGGGTAAGAGATCCTTCTCTTTTACTGCTGCATAGTATTTGGTGGCATAAATATACCACAGCTTTTTTATCCATTCAGCTACTCAAGGGCATTTGGGCTGTTTCCAGTCTTAGCTATTGCAAATTGTGCTGCTATGAAGATAAGGGTGCATACATTGTTTATGATTGGTGTTTGGGGTCCCTTAGCATATATTCGTAAAAGTGGCTTCACTGGGTCAAATGGCAATTCCATCTTTAATTTTTTGAGGAAACTCTGTACTGTTTTCAATAATGGCTGCACTCGCCTGCATTCCCACCAGCAGAGTATAAGAGTTCCCTTTTGTCCACATCCTGGCCAGCACTTGTCATTTGTTGATTTGTTGATGGTAGCCATTCTGACAGGGTGAGCTGATACGTCATTGTCTTTTTAATTTGCATCTCTCTGATGGTCAGTGACTTTGAGCATTTTTCCTATGTGTCTTGGTCATCGGTATGTTCCCTTTGTAGAAGTGTGTATTTAGGTCCTTTGCCCATTTTTTGATTGGATTTTTTGTCTTCCTTTGGTTAAGTTGTATGGGTTTCTTATACATTTTGGATATTAACCCTTTATCACATGGATCCTTGCCAAATATGTCCTCCCATACTGTGGGCTCCCTTTTCATTTTGTTGATCACTTCTTTTGTTGTGCAGACACTTTTTATTTTGATGTATTCTGACTTGTTTATTTTCTCTTTAGTTTGTTTGTCCTGGGAAATGTATCTGTAAACACATTGCTATGAGAGATGTCTGAGATTTTGCTGCCTATGGATTCTTCTAAGATTTTTATGGTTTTCATACCCACATTTAGGTCTATTAACCATTTTGAGTTTACTACTGTGTATGGTATATGTTCATGTATTGTTTCCGTTTTTTGGGGTTTTTTTGCACGTTTATCAGTTCAATTTTCCCAATAATATTTATTGAAGGGACTGTTGTGACTCCATTGTCTGCCTTTGCCTCCTTTGTCAAATATTAATTGAGCGTAATGGCTTGGGTAGGTTTCTAGGTTCTCTGTTATATTCCATTGATGTATATACTTGTTCTTTTGGCAGTACCAGGCGGTTTTGATTCCTATGGCTTTGAAGTATAATTCGATATCTGGTATTGTGATCCCTCCACCTTTGTTGTTTGTTCTCAAGATTGCTATGGCTAATTGGGGTCTTTTTTGGCTCCATATAAATATTTGAAGTATTCGTTGTAGATCTGTGAAATATGTTGTTGTTCTTTTAATAGGGATTACATTGAATCTGTAGAGTGCTTTGGGTAATATGGACATTTTAATGATGTTAATTCTACCAAATCCATGATCACGGTATATTTTTGCACTTGCTTATATCTTCCTCTATCTCTTTATTCAACATCCTTTTTTTTTCTTAGTACAAGTCTTTTACCTGCTTGGTTAAGTTTATTCTTAAGTATCATGATTTTTTGATGCAATGGTAAACGGGATTGTTGGTTTGGTGTCCTTTTCTTTCTTTTTAAAAAATGTATTTCTTTATTGATTTCAGAGAGGTAGGGAGAGGGAGAGATGGAAACATCAATGATGAGAGAGAATCATTGGTTGGCTGTATCCTGCAAGCCCCCTAGTTGGGATCACACTGCAACCTGGGCATGTGCCCTTGGCCAGAATCAATCCCGAGGCTGCCCAGTCCACAGGCTGATGCTCTATCCACTCAGCCAAACTGGCTAGGGCTGGTTTCCCTTTCTGAGAATTCATTATTGTTGCATAAAAGTTCCATTGGTTTCTAGTTGTTAATTTTGTATCCTTCTATATTGCTGAATTCATTTATTAAATCTAGGTGTGTGTGTTTTTTTTTGTGGAGACTGTCGGTTTTCTATGTACATTATCATGTCTTCTATGAATAATAAGAGTTTTACTTTCTCCTTTCCAATTTGGATGCCTTTTATTTCTTCTTCTTGTCTCCTTGCTGTGGCTAGGACTTCCAGTACTATGTTGAATAAGAGAGGTGAAAGTGGGAATTTCTCTTTTGTCCTGCTAATTAGGGGAAATGGTTTCTGTTTTTGCCCATTGAGTATGATTCTGGCTGTAGGTCTGCCATACATGTCCTTTATTATGTTGAGATATGAGGCCTCTTCTCCCACTTTGCTGAGAGTATTTATCAAAAGTGGGTGCTGAGTTTTGTCGAATGCTTTTTCTGAATCTATAGATATGTCCATGCTATTTTTGTCTTTCAGTTTGTTTATGTGATGTATCATGTTTATCGATTTGTGAATATTGTACCAGCCCTGCATCCCTGGATGAATCCCATTTGGTCATGGTGTATGATCTTTTAAAAATATTGCTGGATCCAATTTGCTAATATTTTTAGAGGATTTTAGCATCTGTGTTCATCAGGGATAATGGCTGTAATTATCTTTCTTAGGAGTGTCACCTGGTTTTGGAATTAGGATAATGCTTTGATCATGAAAAGAGTTTGGAAGTGTTCCTACCTCTGGTTTTCCTTTGAATGGTTTGGGGAGTATAGGTGTTAGTTCGTGATTGGAGGTTTGGTAAAACTCCCCTGTGAAGGCATCCAGACCAGGACTTTTGTTTGCTAGGAGGTTTTAGATTCCTGCTTCTATTTCTTCATTTGTTATTGGCCAATTCAAGTTTTTTGATGCTTCCTGTTTCAGTTTTTGGATACTGTGTTTTTATAAGAATTTACCCATTTCATCCACATTGTCCAGCTTGTTGGCATCTAGTTGTTCATAGCACTTTATTACAATCCCTTTTTTTCTGGGTTTTTGGTTGTTACATCTCTATATTCCTTTCTGACTTTATTTATTAGGGTCTCCTCTCTCTGTTTCCTAATGAGTCTGGCTAATGGTTCATCAATCTTTTTTATCTTTTCAAAGAAACAGCTCATGGTTTCACCAAGTCCCATTCCTGATGGTGAAAGGTTCTGTAGTCACCAGAGCCATCAATCAGGAGGAGACCAGGGGGAGACACACAGAGGTCAGTGAGCAGTGCATGACTTGGGTAAGCTTTGCAGACACAGTGGGTTCTCATGGCTCCTGGAAACCAACCAAAGTAGCAAGGAGCGAAGTGCAGGAGGTCTACTCCATCCTGTAGACATGAGCAAAGTAAAGGTTTAGCCACTCCTGCACCTATGACATGGAGGCTGGGAAAATGCTGAGATAGAGCAACAACCTCACAAGCAGCCTCTACCTGGTCATAATCCTGTCTGAGCCTCAAAGGACTGATCTAGAGAGGATCCAACACTGTCATTATGAAATGTCAAACTTTTCACCATGATTTTAAATAAAAAATATGCAAAACTGTAAAGCTGTCTCCTTCACCAAGAGATTTCCCAAGTCAGCTGCTTGTTGAAATGAGATGATTTCCAATGAACCTTGTTAAACGTCCCTATGAAACTGCATGACACGGGATGCGCACACTGCTGTCATCTCAGATCAGTGCTGGTGTGACACCTATGGGGACAGAGCTGAGGTCATTTCCTGTGGCACCAGAAACAGCAAGTCCTGGCACCTGTACAGGGGAGATGACCAGGGGGCAGCCCTCAAGGGCCCTTTGCACCATTCAGATGGGTCCATCCAGCTTCCACTGTCCACGGAACATGCACCTGTTTTATTTACTGTGGGCCTGTCAGAAGGAGGGGCCATATGGGGACAGGTGGGCATGTGGGTCAGACCCCCAGCTCAGCACACAGGGGCTTGGGTTGTGCTGGGGTCTCTCTTGTTGGGAAGGTTCCCAACCACAGACTGATGAGCGCACTGAGGATGGTCTCTGTGGAGAAAGAAAAGCAGGAAATACAGACACGTGGTGAGGAGAGTCCCCATCGCTGCCCACATGTCCTCTGCCAGCAGCAGTGCTACCCCCTCCTCTGGGGTCTGCTGTGAGAAAGCAGGAAATGGGAGCCTCAGAGAAAGAGCAGGAGCTGTCCCTAGAGGCAGCTGAGAGCTTGAGAGGAAATCCCTGTGCCCAACAGGAAGGCCCTTCCCTCCCACCTCCCTCTGCCCCTGCTCCTGGGGCTGCTCTCTGTGCTGTGGGTCCTGAGCGCCCCCTGGTGTCCTGAACGCCCCCTGTAGCCCAGCCCTGCTGTCTCCTCAGGGAGGTTTGTGTCTGTGCTCACACTGACTTCCCCTCACTGTGTCTAGCACAGTAATACACGGCCGTGTCCTCAGCTCTCAGGCTGTTCAGTGTTAAGTAAACTTGGCTCTTGGACGTGTCGCTGGTGATGCTGAGGCGGGATTTCAGTGCAGCGTTATAGGCTGTATTTCCACTACTCCACAGAACCCCAACCCACTCTAGCCCCTTTCCAGGAGCCTGGCGGATCCAAAATACACCATAGCTCCTTGGAGACAATCCAGAGATGGTGCAGGTGAGAGAAAGGGTCTGTGAGGGCTTCACCAGTCCTGGGCCCGACTCCTGCAGCTGCACCTGGGACAGGACACCTGGGGACAAGGAGCACAGTCCTGTCAGTCACCTGCAGTCACAGCCATCCCATGACCCCTGTCTGACCCCTGAGACCCTCACCTCGGGGGGCTGTCAGCAGGCACAGGAGAAGACCCAGCAGCCTCATCTCCTTCTAGACCACAGCTCTGCCTTCCCAGAGACCTCAGTCCTGTGTGAGGAGAGAGCTGTGAGCCTGCACAGCCCAGGAGAGGATGTATCCTGGAGCTTGAACAGAAATTTGCATGTGGGGCAACCTTTTCCTAATAAGTAGAGTGACTGAGGTTGGTATTCACTGTGATATTAGTAACTACCACCAAAGCACAAGAAAAAGGGAGACCCTTGATTCTTGATGTTGGAAACTTTTTGTTGCGTTACTAGAGTCCCAGTGCACTAATTGGTGCAGCAGTGGGGTCCCTTGGCCTAGCTTGTGGGATTGGGCTGAAACAAGCAGTCGCGACAACCCCCAACGGGTCCTGGATTGTGAG